GGAGCTACAGAGTCGGTTAAATTGGCAGATTTGTGTCATTTTTTCTTGATTAAAAGGATACATTGGAACTTTTTTTCTCATTTAAATATATTTTTTAATGTTTAATTATCTGCTATTCAGTCAAAACAATTAATTAATTATGGTTTTACTTCGGACAAAAATCTCAGGCAAAATTTTTCTTCGAAAATTTGTTTACATGGGTACTAGTAGTAATGTCTTAAAAGTCTCAAGTAAAATCTTATCTGCATTTTCAATTTGAAAATTTCAAATACTGAAGGTCAAAGTTGAAAAATAGTTTTTCTCTATTAAAACGATTTAATCTTGAGCCTTGGTGTTGTTAATTCGCTGTGGGGCCTAGCGTTTGTTTGTCGTGTACTGCAGCAGTACTACTGCTTCCTATTCTTCTTTGTCCTATTCTTCTTTGTCCGTATCCCCTTCCCCTTTTGCGTAAAAAAATCCCGTATTTGGTACCTAGCTTTGGTACTTATCATCCGTATTGTGTCCTTCAAAAGCAGGCGCGATGTTTATTTCTGCAGAAGTAGTGATACTTTCTTTCGCATTATTTTGGATAAAACGATCATTTTGATAAAAAAAACTTCAACAATTTGTAAGCGCTGTAACACCATGTGTAAATGCAAATTATGATTTCAGAATTGCAAATAACTTGCTCACCATTTGAAGTTCAAAACAGGATTTTCATATGGGATGACCCTCTATGAACTAGGTTTGCTAGGTGCCCAGGTTTTTGTTGGATTTAGGGTTAACCTTTATATTAAGCTTAAGTTACATTCAAGCTTAAATTAACATTCTTAAAACAGTTAAATTAAGCTTTCTGAAGACAGTTATAGTCTAGCTTAAATTGACATTTTAAAACAGTTGAATCTATGTTTTATTTACATTCTTAAAACAGTTATAGTACTATAAATTATTATGTGTGGTTGTTAATAGTTTTGATATGTTTGAATAAGTAATAATTTAGTGGTTTATAATTTTTTTTAAAATATTTATCTTGATTGTTGGAAAACCAATTTTAAAACCTGGGAAGCCTATTAGGAACACACTGTATAATAATATATAAAATCATAAATATCATAAAGATCAAATTAATAAAAAACAATATTTATGTGGTTCAACGTGGCATGTTACCTGGGCATTAGGTATGTAAAGCTAATGATTATGGGGAATTACATTATGTTACAGTATCTTGACTTAGTAGTGCATAAAAAAAATAATTTTTAATTAGAAATAATTAACCCTGATATCTCGCCAATTATCTTTGTAAAGTTTATTCTACTTTCTGATTTTTTGATGTGTTTTCCATTAATTTCACCTACCGAAACTTGTAGCGCCAGGCTCAGTGGCCACTATTACTTTCACTTAAATATTTAAATTAATTTAGGTTGTCTGAATAATTTTACTTAATAAATAGAAATTATAGAAACGCTTATTTTAAGGGCTATGCTGCCGTGCTAAGCACAGAGGTCGTAACTGCTATTTTTCTCAAAAAATGAGTTAATATGATCTAGGCATAAAAATATAAAATTTTAGTTACAAAATTATTCCGTTAATTTAACGTGGTTATATTTATTGATTGATTGACAATGTTTGTTTCGTAAATCTAAAGCCTGGTTCATATAGATGCGACATGCGAATTTGCGAAATGCGAAAATGTTTTCATTGGTCCATTTGATTTGGCGGGAAAAGTGTTTCGACGTTTCGACAGATTCTGCGAATTCGCAAGATTTGAAATCGGGGGGGCGGGAATCTTGAGATTGATCCAATATTTTGCGAAAATCGCACGAATTTGGCTTGATGCGCATGCGCATTAATGCAGATGCCTATTATACGTATTTGTTATATGTACCCGCGCCATTTTTGTTTATGTTCTGTGTTTATTTCATTTGTATTGCATCGTTGTTGAGTTTTATTTGAAATGTTTCTTGCTAAAGTTGTTTTTTGTTCTTTATAATGGACAAAGAGTTTTTGGAGGTACATTAGTTTCTTATTTTACCTTATAGTAGCATATTTTTTTTTAAGTAACTATACTATTTAAGTACCTACCTATAGAAAATGTTAACCAAGTATGGCAAATATCACCTGGAGAGAAAATAATGTCCCTAAAATACCATGGCAAATATCGCCTAGTGAGAAAACAATGTCCCTAAAATGGTTCCGACCATTCGCATCTATATGAATAGGAGCTGCGAAATGCGAATATTCGTATTTCGCAAATTCGTAAATTCGCAAATTCGCATCTATATGAACTCGGCTTAAAACAAAGTAATAAAATGGTAAATAAATTTAATATTTTTTATTTGTTTTAGTAGATACTTTCACTTAAGAAATAATCTTCCTAAATACCGCTCGTGCTTAAAACTTAACCAGATAATTTTCATTCAAGCATGTTGTAATACCCCGATTTTTTTCTGTTGATTGTTTCGTCGCTATTATTTAATAATTATCCACATTGCCCCAGCAATGCTTCAAAAATAAATACAAATGGTCATAAAAATAATTTTATTAATTTGGCATTTAATTGTCAAACCAAAATAACAAAAAAAACCATACAGGGTATTTAATAATTAACAATAATGCCTTAACAATAAATACAAATGTCATAAAATATAATCTTAATCACAATCCACACAAGAAGGTCTGTTCGATATCGTAGTAAAAATACTAAAAATCACTGCAACACTGCACATCATACGATGGCGGCCATTTCTGTTGTTTACAATTCTTGTGCTTTGGGTTTGTACAGATGGGTTTTAAACGTTGTGTTTTTTACAGACTTGCAAGCCTTAAAAGAGACCTCAAAGTGGTAAGAACAATCATTTTACTCCTCTTTTGTAAAAAATAATCCTTATTCTATCAGAGCTGTTACCAAACTGTCAAGTTTCAATTTTAAGGTTAATTTACCACAATCCACAAATTAACCTTAAAATTGACATTTGACATTTTTTACAAAAGGGGAGTAAAATGATTGTTCTTACTACTTTTAGGTCTCTTTTAAGGCTTGCAAGAGTCTCTGTAAGAAACACAACATTTAAAACGATTATTAATCTATAAAAACCCAAAGCACAAGAATTGTAAACAACATTGGCAGCCATTAAATGATGTGCAGTGTTGCAGTGATTTTTAGTATTTTTACTACGAGATGTTGTGTGTATTGTGATCTTAATTAGAATCGATTACCAGATTCTGTCAAAAAAATCGGGACATTTTGTATGAATTTATCTTAATTACAAAATTGAGATAATGATGCAAATTGTAAGTTTGACGTTACTTAATTAATGTTGATTGTGTCATTTTTGTAATAAAAGTTAATTCAAACATAATTTCCCGATATTTTTACCGTTAACTAATTTTTTATTTTTGCATTCTGCCTTTGAGTCGTGTCAATTCGACAATTAAATCTTTCTAAAACTCAAAAATGAAGCGCTATTGATTTCTTCTGCCATCTTTAAGGCAACGAAGAATGATATAATTATAATTAGACCCAATCAATACGATTTAAATAGTCTATTATAGATCATTAAAATGCTAATTGTAAAATTTATTATAAATAATTTACTTGTTTTAGGGCAACTAATCTCTGGTTAAGTTCCAGTTAGTCTATCTGACAGTTAAATTCCATATCGATCGTTATGAGAACAATGGTATCCATGAAAATTATCTGCCAGATAACTATATGCAACTTTAACCGGACATTGATAAACCGGCCCTAAGTCACTAAATATATATTTTTCCTATAATTAGCCAATTTTATTATCGATTTAGCCAAGCTACATCAAAGAATATACGTTTTTTAGTAACAAATGCACATAGAAACTATATTCGAGATAAATTTTATAACTCATCAACTCACTAACATTTAGAATTTGTATCAAGATATATTTTAATACTTTTATCAATATAATAACTTGTGAGCCATGTATTAAATTATTGATACAACTTTTATTTAGTTTCGACCATATAGCTTAGTATATCTTAGTATTAGTATTACCTGTAAATTTAAGTAAATAATGCGCAAAAATATTCTCTGTATTTAAAATTAAGAAATATATGAAAAATATGATGATAAAATACAATATTATGACCACTTTTCCATAATAACCATGGTTTAAATTTTCCCTTTCTGACCAAGTGTATAAAATGTAGATATAAACCCTGTCTAGCTTTAGTTGGCCCAGCCGATAAAATATCGGTTATTGGCATGTACTGAAGATCATTTAAACTAACGAAGTTATAATTAATCCACTTTTATTTTGAGAATAACCATTTGAAAATATATAAAACAAAAATAACTAAACTAATTACAACAATTCGAACTAATTGGGAGTATGAAAAAGAAAAGCAAAATTTGTGATTTTTAGCTCAATGATATCTCATTCTACCACTTAATAACTTCACCTTATTTTTAATAATTGCTTTAATTCTTATTGGCTATTTACTACATCGTGATGCTCCTCTGGAGATAAGTTATCCCAAATGTGTTGAAGCCTTTACTTTAGTTCTTGCATAGTCTTGGCCGAATTGGCTCGTAATCGCTTTTCCAGTTTTGCTGAAGTAATTTTTAGATATTCTGCTATCTTTTGAAGTAGGCAACAAAGACTCCTCTAGAATGGCTGTTGATTTTTTCATTCAGTCCATTACCAAAGATGGAAATTTAACTTTGCCATTGAGAAAATTAGGATGATAAGTTTCATGATTGTGACGGATAACTTTGCTCGGGCTGTCACTGACACAAACTTCACCATTTCCCAATTTCGATGGTCTTAAGCCCACTTCAGCCTGTCATACTTCTGCTTTAAGTTCAATTACGATTTTTTTGTAGGTTAAGGAAACATCGATTGCCCCTTTAGATTGAACTCAGAACACTTACCTTGTAAGAACCTGCTTCTGAGTGACATGTGGCCTTGCAAACACCTCTTCCGACAGTCTCACTTCAGATTAAAATAAATGAAGTTATTTCCTTATGTTATATTTTTTATTTTCAGCGCTAATACGCAGATGGACAATGACGTCACGCCGGTGTACTTAGCAGCACAGGAAGGACACTTGGAGGTCCTTAAGTTCCTGGTTTTGGAAGCAGGTGGCTCCCTATACGTCAGAGCGAAAGACGGGATGGCTCCAATACATGCCGCTAGTCAAATGGGCTGTCTTAACTGCGTTAAATGGATGGTGAGCTAGTTTATTTAATTAGTTTATTAATAAGCTTAACGAGTTGTTAATTTGCCAATAAACATACATATTTTAATATATGGCTAGGTATATGGCTAAGAAATGAGATCAAGTTTATAGTAGAGTGTTTTAATTTTAAAATACTAATCAAATATTGCAATTTATATTTCGTAGAAATAAAAAGTAACAACAAATATTACCTAAATGTTTCAAAATATTTCTTAGAAAATTCTATAATAAATAATGTTATGCAATATTGTAATTACATTTAATGAATCTCATGGTGATAAAACAGACTTTATGCTTTTAATTATGTTACGGAAATCAATAATTAATTTTTTGTTTATTTATGTCATCACTTTAATACTATAAAGCAAATCAATTAATCAATGCTAACTTCAACCCGTGACTAAAACATCATAAAGTCACAGCTTAGCAATGTGTATTAAAAATATCACATAGTGTCATCGAAACATTTACTACTAGTCTCTGTATACGATAATTAAAAAAAAAACATTTTTAAAGAAGATAAAAATGTACCTTACATTTTCTTTATTAAGGATAATATAAATAAAGTTTAATGTTAAAAAAATACTGGATAATTTAGTATTTATATATCATACTATTTTTTTTTCCTAATTCTTTTTTAAAAATTGTTTTTGCTTCCATTTTCCACTTTATTAAGGAGGTTTCTTATTGTCATGTTATAAGAAAGTCGTTAATTAAATACACCTCGTATGTCATTAAAAAATTAATGATGTTTTTTTCGTATGTAAAGGTGCCATATAATTTTTTTAACTTTTACCCCAGTTTTGCAATAATAAACGATAATGTTGACCAAAATTATCAGTCTGTCATTCTCGTCTAGATGATCCGGCAACACTGGATTACGAACACGTGATTATCTAGGGATATTTGGTTTTAATTTATTTCGAGACTACCATGATTTTGTTTTTAAAAAATATAATTAAAAAAATATTGAATTAAGTTATTTTTTTTAATAATTAGACAATCCTTCTACCATTTTTGTTTTCTGCTCTTCTCGTTAGATTTTCGCTGCATTTAACATACTGCATGTTTTCTGTTGCTTTATTTTTTTCACAACTCAATTTAAGATTTTTAATAAAACTGCAACTATCACTGCCACTGTCAAAAGCGTTGCCATAGAAACCAACTATCAACAACTTGCAATGTTGTCGTGTTTAATTCTCATTTCTTACATTTTTGAATTCATCTTCTTGTGTTACAAATTGTTACTTACCATATATATGTATATAGTGCCTTTTGTATAAAAATAAAAAATAATTATACAATTAGTTAAAAAATTGTCTGTTTTTTTAATCGAATATAATAAAATAGCAAAATAAATTTTGTTTTTGTTGGTACATATCGCTATTTATAGTATAGAAGCAACTTCCCTTAATCTTTTCCCCTCAATGTTCTTCAAGAACCTCCTTAAGCACAAACAGATCCGGAAAATGGCAACACAAAGGGTAAAGGTAAATTTCTCTTGAAATTAAAAGACAAATTTTCCTTCACAATTTATTTAACTTTTAAAGCCGCCAATTAGACCGCAGCTGCGCGCAGTATCGGAGAAGTCCCGTGTTTGTTCAAATGTAGGTAGGCAACCCAAATTACAAATAGGTAATATTGCGAGTTTACCTCCTTTAAATACATAATAGGAATCGAAAATATTTCAAATCAAATTAGTTTAAATAATAGGATACTAAATTAAAAATAAAACCAGCTAAAACCTAGGAAAAAAACCTTCCCTATCAACTCAAAATAAAAAACATCATATGTACCCATATGTACAAGGAAACCTTTAATAATACATTTAATGTTTTTTTTAGATTCAAGACCAGGGTGTAGATCCAAACCTTAGAGACGGCGATGGGGCCACACCTTTGCACTTCGCCTCGTCCAGAGGACATTTGGACACAGTAAAATGGCTTTTGAAACATGGCGCCAGATTATCACTGGATAAATTTGGTAAAAGCCCCATTAATGATGCTGCAGAGAATCAACAAGTAGAGGTATGTACATAACAATTACATTTTGTATACATTTTATTCTAAACTATCTTAACCAATATCCATATCCATATCCATTTATATACACGGAGAGAAATGTATAGTAAAATTTACTTTAACAAATTTTAGGGTAACAATATTATATATTCGCCAATACAATATTATGATTGTAATACAAAATACTATTTTTTATTATACAATTTTTGTAAAGATTACAATACCAATATTACTATATTATAAATGTATAATATATATTTTAATTTTTAATATGTTCGTATAGTAAATTGATTTTACTATCTACAAATAGTAATATTTACTATATGACTTAATCAAATGTAAGGTGTACATCTAATATTATAATTTATTACACATTAATAAAACATATAGTAAAAAGATACTTTTATATTTAATGTAAATAAACAATATATTTAAATATAATATACAATACAGTAACTCATGACATTTTAAACATTCAATTTTCTGAGTTTCTTCAATTTATAAACTTTCTTGACCCATTACTGGTAATACTTATAAGAAAGAATTGAACCTACTTGTTTGCATAGTATGTACCGATTGCGGCAAAGGCCACGTCGCGACGCGTCGTTAGACGGTGTGGATCAGGTGATATTCTTACATCTCGCCTCTGTTGGCTTACCAACCATGTTATATAAGCTCTTTGTTTTGGGTGTGTTCCACTACTATAAGTTGCTCGACAGTGCAGTGTCGTGTCGACACTGATGATACCCAATATAGGTCAAAACACCTGTCTGTCGGTATTTGAAGTTGATGAAACGCACTCAAAAAAAAAATCATTGGCGAGGTGTAGGTTCAATTCTTTCTCATAACATTTTTGTATATTAAAAAGTACAATAAATATGTTGCAATTTTTAATTGTTAACATAAAAATATTCCATTTTAAAATATTTTATATTTAAAATGGCAACATAATATTTTAAAATATACTATACTTATTAGTAATGGAAAAAATCTAATTATAATAAGATTTAAAAACAAAATTTGTTGAGAATAATAATATTTAACATTAAGATTTAACATACATGGATATTTAAAAATTACTAAATATGCATAGTATCTGGCAATATACAAGATAGTTGTCCCAAATAGTAATTTCAATTATAGTAAAGGGTATTATAATTATGGTAATCAGCATTATACTTTTCTCTCCGTGTAGGAATTATTATTATCTTCTAATTTTACAAAAAAAAATTCTTTATCTTTGACATTGACATGGGTATATTTTTATTTGAACCATTACCATCACCATTATATGCGTAAAAACATGCCTATTAAACCCAAAAATCCTTATAACTTTTATATTTATGGAAAATCACAGAAAAAATAGGTTTCAAACACACATTTTCATCCAATTTCTTCGCTACAAAATTTGTTTTTTTAATGGGCGCCATAACTTATGTAGTAAAATTTATACATCGTTAGATTCCTAGATTTTTTTCAATCTAACCATATAAAATTACAATATGGCAGCCATTTTTAAATAAAAATATATTTATACATTGAAGGATACTTGGTGCACCCTAAATTTGTTTTTAATTTTTTTTTGTTTAAGTGTCTAAATTTATTGGTTCAACACGGAACAACTCCAGACTACAAGAATTCTGACAGCGTCAGCAAAAGATCTTGCTCTTGTTCTAGAAAAGGAAGCCGTGTCAAAAGGGTAATTATAACTGTATTTTAAATATGATGTGCAGTTAGCATTGTATGTTAAATACTACGTATTTCCATCTAAAATGCAAAAAATATCAATTATTTATTTAAATAATTGCCTGTTTTAACTTATAACTTTTAAGAAAAAAAGAAAGAATATACATTTTAATATTTGTAGGGTGACAGCATCACTAGTGATTGCTCTTCATGTAAACCTTCAAAAACACCATCAATAGCAAATTCTGAACCATTCTATCTGCACCCACGTTTAGAACCAAGATCAATGGAGGCTCCGCATGCCCCTGAAAATGGGCTCTATATAAATCCCATGAATACCCACAGACACAGGTACTTTCGTTAGTTTAAAAAAACTGCAATTTACAATAAATCCAATTAATTTGTTTGGTTTTGTAATGATATTATGAATTGATAAACATTTTTTTAGTATTTCCAGTGGGTCTGAAAGTAGTGGAAGTACAAACGGCGAATCTTTTTATTTACATAACCCACAAGAAGTTATCTATAATCGAGTGAAAGATTTGTTTGAGTCCAATTCGCAAAAACCTAATGGTCTCTCAGCCCTAACAGGTATAAAACTAAAAAAAGTTTCTTAGTATTTTTTTATTTGTTAACCTTAAACGAGTTTATTGATATGATAAGAGTCCAACAAGGAAGTGTATTAGGACCTTTATTATTGTTATTATGTAATGTTTTTAACTTTTCTTTTGAAAACAAATATTCTTCCGACGCTCTTCCAAAAGAAACAGATAATATACTTTATGATTACAAAAATAAAAATTATTATTTATATTAATTTCTTTTTTTTTAAGTTAAAGTTGAAGTACACTCCAGCAGTTCTGGAGCAGGGTCTGACGAGAATCTTTCATCCTCTGATTTATCAGAGAGATCAGGGGACCATGATCACGACTATGAAGATATTTACTTAGTAAGAGAGGAAAATAACAAAAAGAACGCTGTGGCCGATAGAAATAACAATTCACGTAAGTACATTGTTTCACTATTTTAAAAATAAGAAATTATAATATGTGCAAAAAAACACAAATCTATGCCAACAAGTATCAATGAGTTCATTAACCAACTTAGAAAATTCAAGCACTTTTCATAGAGTTTTTAATTAATTAATAAAAAAATTTAAACTTAAAGCAGAATATTTTCAAAGGTTTTTGACGGGCAGAATCTCAATCCAACTTCATAATTTTTCCATAACCTCAAGTTATTGAGCAGTATTTTTTCTACAAAACCAATTACGGCATCTAAAGGCATTCCTTAAAATACACTTTGAGTTTTTTTAATATCTTATCACCTCTTCGAAATATCGTTAGTTGAAATTTATAGTTAAGTTTATGTAATAATTTGAATTAATTTTTCGGTGACCGATCTTTAAAAGCTCGAAAGCCACTGCCCTACAAGACTAAAATTCAGAATCTCCAATATTAATAATTTTTATTGTTATAAAAAATAAAAAAAATACATGTGAGTAGGGCTGCCAACTTCTGCAAAAAAAAAAATGCGGGACATTTTGTATGAATTTACATTCATTACAAAAACGACAATGCAAATTTGTAAATTTAACGTTAATTGATAATTGTTGAATGTGTCATTTTTGTAGATGTTACATGTTTTTTGCGGGTGTTAAATAAAATATTTAAATATATGTATTATAAGTATATACCTATTATGTATGTATTATAAGTATTTTGGTAATGTTATTAAGGTTGACAATTTTGTCAAACTTTAGAGCACGGTAAAATTGAAAAAATAGAATCTCTGGAACCACTATGTATAATTGAATTAAATTTTACACACTATTGTAGAAATGTTTATAAAATGATCATTTAATTAAGGTTAATTTGTTTAAATAAAATAATTTTGCATACATTTATTATAAACAATTGAAATTTTGTATGTGTTCTTCACGCTGAAAAAAAATTAATCTTGTGTCATAATATGCGGCAAACGTTTCCGTTTAATAAGATGTACTTAAAAAATTTGTCTTTCCTATGTCATTCCGGAGATATTAATTTTTTTGTCCCGCTGTGCGCTTGATCAGTACGCGGCGCGCTTCGTTTCTAGCTCGTCCGTTCTAACGTTTTAACGGTGTGCCTGAACGAAGTTTAAGTCACATAAAAATGCCGCCAAAAACTGATTGTAGTTTCTTGTTCGGGACCCTTTGGTGACTTAAAAATGATATTTACCAAAGTTCTAGCTGCTACTCTTTTCAAAATTGTTCGAAAATTCATGATTTTTTTTAAATTTTTGTTTATCTCTTTGACAGAGTACACATTTGCACACCGATTTTTATAAAATTAGAGTAAATTATTTAGGAGAATACTTTTTAATATTGTTCACATCATTTGATATATACAGGGTTGGCCAAAAATCACTTATTTTTAATAATGCAAAAGCGTAAATTCATGATTACTTATAGCATAACACGCGAAAAATATTTATCCCCAATTTTTTTTTGTTAGATATTTGTACGTCTATCAGGTTACAAAATTGCATTTTTATTAACATTTTACAAGAAAAATAGATTTGTAATAAAATTTAATAAAATAACGCTTAGAGAGTATTTAAAATGTTGTTTAATTTAGGCTTTTTAGTAGTTTTTAATTTTGAACGAAAAATTGGTTGAAGTTTTTTGATCGGCACTCTTTGGTGATTTAAAAAAGATATTTACCAAAATTCTAACTGTTTTTTGTTTAAATTTGTAAAAAATTCATTTTATCGCAAAGTCTTTTCAAAAAGGATTACAATTGTTTTTATTTTATTAAATGAGCTTAAATTAAACAATCTTCGAACAAATTTCCGTTCGAACAAATTTACGTTCGAACAAATTTCTTTCGAACAAATTTCCATTCGATCAAATTTTTTCGAACAAATTTCCTTCGAATAATTTTCTTTCGAACAAATTTATTTCGAACAAATTTCCGGATACCGCAAAGTCTACCTTTGCCAGAGTACACATTTGTACACCGATTTTTATTGATTGCAGTTTTTTGTTTGGGACCCTTTGGTAACTTTAAAATGATATTTACCAAAATCCTAGCTGCTCCTATTTTCGAAATTTTTTGAAAAATCTTTTTTTTTTTTATTTTTTTTTTGTTTATCTTACCTTTGACAGAGTACACATTTGTACACCGATTTTTATAATATTGGAGTATATTGTTAACGAGACTTGGAGAATACTGTGAGCACATCATTAGATTTATACAGGGTTAGACAAAAATCACTTTTTTAAATAGTAAATGCATAAAAAAGATTTTTCAAAATGTTTCGAAAAGGGGAGCAGCTAGGATTTTGGTAAATATTATTTTTAAGTCACCAAAGAGTCCCGAACAAGAAACTGCGGAATTTTTATGCGACTTAAACTTCGTTCAGGCACACCGTGTCCTGACGAGCTAGCAGCGAAGCGCGCCGCGTACTGATCAAGCGCACAGCGGGACAAAAAATTTAATATCTCCGGAATGACATATGAAGGACAAATTTTTGAGTACATTTTATTAAACGGGAACGTTTGCCGCATATTATGACACAAGATTAATTTTTTTTCAGCGTGAAGAACACATACAAAATTTCAATTGTTTATAATAAATGTATGCAAAATTCTTTTATTTAAACAAATTAACCTTAATTAAATGATTAAGTATAATATAGTATAAACATTTCTACAATAGTGTGTAAAATTTAATTCAATTATACGGAGTGGTTCCAGAGATTCTATTTTTTCAATTTTACCGTGCTCTAAAATTTGACAAAATTGTCAACCTTAATAACATTACCAAAAAAACAAATTTTAAAACAATGTTTTTACTGGGACATATGAGTCATGCCTACTACACAATAATGTGATTATTTTCAAAATCAGTCATTTCGTGAAATTTTCTGGTCCCACTTGACGTGGTTAATAATAATTATTTATTAATATATTTATTGATTTATTGATTATCTTCTGGGTGTTGCGTTTTTGCTTTAGACCTAATCTATTTATTTATTTTATATCGCCATTTTTGCCTTGATATCTAAATCAAACATAAAATACAAATATTAGCTAAATTTTTAATATAAATTATCTATTGGAAATGTATTTAAACAGTCAATTAAAAAATATATATTATATTAATGTTATTTATGTATTTTAGTAAATGGATCTAATGTAAGGTCAAGGTCTAGAGACTCTGGCTCTCATAGGTAAGTCAAATACACATTAAAATACGAACTAAGCTCCTGAATACAAATGGGACCAATAAATGTTGTTAAAGTTTACTTTTACTTTTTTTTTTAAACTTTGCATCGTCATTAAAGAAATTACCCTGTGCAATTTTAAGAAAAAAATATAATGTATAATATGAATCAAAGTTAATTAATTAAAATCATTGTTAACTTGAAAATAAACAATATGAATACCTACGTTTAGAATACACCGAGACAATAAAAGGTAACCATTGCAATGGTTTGGCAATGCATTGATGCACAGAACACTAATCCAGTCGTCTTTCATAGACATGTTAATATTAATATATTTACAAGATTTTTAGTGGCTTTTACATAATATGCATATAATGCCACTTTTTGATTTTTATAAAGCCAAACCACACAAATTTATGTAAGCTTAACCTAGTCGATGTATGCAAATGATTTATAAAAATTTGACATAACCTAAATTTTATTTAGTTGACAATTCGTATTATACGTGGACGTATTAATATGTCTATGGTATCATATATTTTAAATCCCTCACTTATGAACTGACTATGTGCATAAGGTAATATAATACAGCAAATCGACATATTTCCGTTCAAAAAGAGAAGAAGGTCATCTTTACAAAATATAGTGAATAAGCAGTATATGTGTGGAAGTATTTGGTCAATTCACAATGTCAATGTCAATACCAATGTCAATGTATTATTTGAGGAGCATCCGTGCAAAACCGGCTATATCCACTTTAATAAAATGTTGGGAAAATGGCAAAAACTCTCGGTTTCCTGGCCTTTACAGATAAAAGAAAAAACAAACTTGAGTTTTGTGGGCTTTGTGGTACTTGATTTATAAGACATACTTTCGTTTTCAAAAACTTTATATTAAGGCCAAAATTTCAAAAAATATTTTGTATATAGCCGGTTTTGCTCAAAAACCGAATAAAATGTAAAAAAAACCTTTATTATTCAAAAATATTAACAAAATAAATTTAGTGCAAACATGAAAAAACAGAACAAATTTTAGTAGTAGTATCGACATATCCAAGCTACATGCTCATCATCATTATTATTTATTGGATATAGCCGGGTTTGCTATAAAAACGTGGATTTGCTCCTAAAGCTACCTTTTAAATGTGATTTTAACATGGATATATTTGGATTTAAACATAATTATCTTGGTTGTCGATAGAAATGAACCCAAAGAGGCGAAATCAGAAAAAAAAAAACAAAAACTGAATAAAATGGATTTAGCCGGTTTTGCACGGATGCTCCTCATTTGGAATCATACAATTTCTAATAAAACATCACATTATACTTTAAAACCAGCAATAGTTAATTTTGTCACATCAATGAGTAGAACCAGAAAACAGGGTGTCATGTAATAAGTTATTACTGAAGCATTAGCGGTACTGTTATTAACCAAAAAAATCATAAAAATTTACCTACTTAAGGCATTTATTTGGTACGATACTGGAATCGTTGAAACCATGATTCACTTAACGTTTAAGCAATTAGGGTTGAAGGACCAAGTAGAGTCGGACATTTGTTTAACTATCGTTACTGTCGAATATTTTAACATGCCGACTATACTTCGAACATCGACAACTGTCGCTGTCGCAAACGATACCAGTGGCTGCCCATCAATTGACAAAAAAGTATGCTAATTTTAATGATTAGTTTTGTTCAAAAACGGTGGCAATAATGTGATATAGTGCTAGAGGAAAAACATGCTAACTTTGGCGTGAACTTACATCTTCCCAAGGAAATTAAATAAAATGTTTTAAAACAGTACAGTGGATTACTGTTTTGGGCTTCAATGGTTACTGTTTTTTCTCTGTATACCCATGTAAAAAATTACTACAATTGATGCAACAATTAAAAATTTTGTCCAAATTTGCGACTTTCTGTAGAAAATGTTATAAAGCTATATAAATTAATCAGTGCACTGCATTTTCTGCCACAATCTAGTGTGCGTTTTCAAGTAGAAATGTGGTAGGGAAATAATCTCCTATAGAAAGTAAAGTTGTCATTTTTAAAAAGCACTCGCAGGGGTGCATTTTTAAAGTCATGTTAAAACCTAAACATATTTTTTTATTACAGTAGGTCAGGTTCTTCCAGCTCGAGCAATTCAAATTGCAATGTTATCGTAAAATTAACCCAACAAAATGGAAAAGACAATAAAAATAACACCTACAAATCCAATGAGTTTTTGCCAAAACCTCAAAAATATGAGAAATTTGAAAAGAAAAAAGAGTATACTCAGGTATTAAAAAAATATGATTTTTTTTGTGTTGGAAGAGTCAATTTTCTCAATTTAAAACGTTTTTCGCAAGTTAAGCAAAACGAATTAATGCACGTTGTAACACAATTTCAATGACTCACTCAACACAAGATACGTCAAAAACTAAAAAGAGACTTTTATACTGATATTTTAGGACTCAAATATATCAACATCCCCATCTCTCCTAAGCTCAGAAGACGAACACGAAAAAAACAAACTGACAGTTTTACATTCCGCCCCGAAAAAAATACCGAATCCCCCCAAAATGGAACCACCAAACAACAACAACAACAGACTTTTAAAACGCGTGACGTCAGTTCCTGCCAACTTGAACCCGCCGCCCCCACCACCTCCGCCACCACTGGCAACAATGCCTAGATACCCTGAAGATGACGAGCCCAGAGGCGCTGAAATCGTTGAGGTGGTCGAGGAGCCAACTTTGAAGCCTTCCGATATTGTCAAAGGGATGTGCAGGAGCATGTCTGCATTAAGTAAGTTTTTTATTTTTATACAGACTGTATAGAATCAAGTAAGTAAGGCTGGAGACAAGGATGACAAATTATATTCTGATAAGAGAAAAAGAAACAAACTTTAATTGGGCGTTGTTTAAACCAAGCCATTCGTAATTACGAACCATAGTTGCCAGGTTGTTTTAAATCAGAAGAGAACGATTATAATTATTTAATAAATAGTTCATCTTTATTTGTTTGAAACTTTAAAAATAACAAAAAAATTAATAATATGTCAAAAATAATTTGATTTAGTTAATTTTCTTACTTTTAATATTAAAAAATAAGAAAAACAACCCTTTTAGGAAACAATAATAGCATATGGCAACAGCGCGACATGCAGCCAGATACAAGGGCATGCAGTTTGATCTACTGTGTTCAGTAGCTCCGACGCTGTCGTAGGGAAATATGTATAGTTTTTAAGAAATACATTTTCGCCATTAACTGGAATTTAATGGATTTTAAACAATACTTAGTTTTTATTTGCAGAAATGCATTAAAACAAAACAAACGAATTCGATAAAAATAAAACCTATAAATTCTCAAACAAAAATAATTCTAAAATAACGAAAATAACTTTTTATCTTAGTATCTTTCTTTAAAGGTTTCTTAGGCCCATGAATTTTTTTGACTTTTACCCACAAAGTTATGGTTTAAGATTTTTAAAAGTTATATCTAAATATATTCGACATTCCATATAGTCGACATCTTTTAGAGAGTTATATCGTACTTAAATTGACAGATAATTATTACTTTAGTTGAAAATCTTAAGACATACATTTACCTTAATTAAATTAACATTCTTAAAAAATATATATTTTGCCTAAAATTAACATTTTAAAACGGTCAAATTTAGATTCAGTTATCAATCGTTCTATCAGTGGCAAATACAAAATAAATTAAAAAAAAATATATTTTTTAATCTAAATTATTGTAAAATTGGATTGGATTAAATATTAAAACACATTAAAATTATATATATTTTTACTTGTTACCTAATATATTATGTACTCTCTAAAAATTAATTAGTCAAAAATGGTCATATTAAATGGAAAATTGACTATATCTCAAAAACTGCTTCACATTCCTAATTTGACGGTATTTTTGGATTCAGGGGACAATTTTACATAAGAATTGGCTGTTAAATTTTGGGATACCATGGTACAAGTGAAAAAGCTGCCACTATATAATAACTATTAAATTAGTCATTTTTGACTAATTCATTTTTAGAGACACGACGAACATTTTTTTCTTGACACGCGCATCGAAATTTTTCTTTCGTTGCCCTTTTGAGCAGTGAGGAAATAATAATAATAATAATAATAAGTTTATTGTGAAAAAAGTACATTTCAAATTGAAAGAGTTCAGCTATGCTGATCTTCCATTCTCCCATGTATACAATACAATTAAATCAATACAATTAACAAAACTTAAATATTTCCTATACATTATGCTACAGATTTACCATTAATAAATCGATTTCAACTAAAAAAAAAAAGAACAAAAATTTGAAGTGCAAGAAAAACAAAATGGTTTAAATAATTTAAGTATTACATTTTTATATAACCAGCTGCACATTTCTTACATACATTTTACAAACTTTTTTAAAATTAGGTTCTGATAAGCTTAAAAAAAATGAACAATTCGTTTAAAATAGTAGGCGCAGTATATTCAAAGCATCCTTGGTGATGCTGAGGAATTGTATAGATGTCTTTGCGAATATTTATTGTATGAATTGATGAGCGTAGCTTTAGCAAGTTAAAAAGGTATTCCACACTTTTATCAATTTGAACAAAAAATACCATAATTATAAAGACACCTTTGGGAGACATTCAGTTTCTGTACATTATTAAAATATGGCGTGACATGCTCCCTAAAATTGGCACAAAAACAATTCTAATACAAGCATTTTGAATTCGTTGTAGTTTTAACTGAGCTGCAGTAATTTAATTTGGGATATATAAGTGATCTTAATTAACCCATTCAATTCTCTATTTACTTTTTACTCATTATTTGAACACCAAGTTGCAAAATTCTGTAAATCAGAATTGATTTGAGCTAACACCACTGAGAAGCTGTCCCATTTAAAATTTAAATACAAATGACGGATTTCTGGGGTAGACAACTTTTGCATCTATAAAGCCACTCTACAGCTCTAAACTACTTGTATGGTACGACTTAATTTTCGTTTATGCCCCGCTAAAGGATGTATAAAAAGTTTGTATAGATACCCATCTTGCTAGGTTTATTTGCAATAATAACATTAATAAATAGGGTGGCAATTATTTTGTTTTTAAATTGTTATTATTAAATCATTTTAATGATACTCATCTACTTATGTTATTAACCAGTATTAATAAATCACCAGTATTTAATTAATTATATCATCTGATAATTTTACTCTGATTTAATCACTGGGTTCCGAAAAGGATTAAATCTTAAATGAGCAATAATATAAATACCCTGAAATGATTAAATCTCAAAAGTAGCTAAACTATGGTTATCATTTAGAATATAAATCTTTTAGGTATTTAATCTTTAAAAGAGTAGAAGTGTTTTGATACTTTTTGGATTGAATCCTTAATGTATCGAATCACTACGAGGGCGGTATAATTTAACTCATCTGGAGAGTAATACTTCGCAGATCGAAATAGGTTTCGATCGCGAGTGAGTTGAGAGCTATTCAAAATCAGTGATTTAATCCCAGTCCCTGATAAAAACGCGTAAATAATAACGATTTTTTCTTGCTATCTTTCAAATGGCAGCCAAAGTTAAAACTATTTGAAAGACGTTTAGGGGGCGAAACGATTAAAATTTAAAATAACCGTTATAAGGACCACCATAATAAAGAATGTATATTTTTAAAACTAAGTAAGATGTCAAAGTTTCTGATGTAAAAGTATACTTTTAAATTGGACGGCTTTCTGCAGAATGGGACCAACCCACACCATGATGAAACTGAGAAAAAAGCTATCAAAGATTTTAATAATTTTACCTGTTAATTTTATACCGATTTTGGACTTACGGAGGTTTAAGGGGTATAATTTAATAATTTCATCAGGTGGATTTTGTGATGTTATGTGTAAGGGTGACGAAAAAAATGGGCTTTTGTTGGTTGGTTCCTTTCTGCAATTTATGAAAACTACTATCTGATGTATGTATGTATTTAAAGAAAAGCGACAATTATTTATTTCCAAACAAAATACAACTGATATTACTATTATAATGGTAATATGAATTAATTTTGATTCTATTTGAAATTCGTCCACATCATCTTCCAACCCCACCTCATCTTGTAAGCTACCAAAAAAATGCATCAAGACTTTATATTTTGCAGAAGCAGGAAATCTTTAAAGACTTTGGTAGTGGGTCTACCAGCCTGCTTTTTTACAAAAAAGATCCAACCCAATTGCAGATATTCTACAGATTCTAATTTTGGATTAGTAATCCACACTATTATTGAATGTTGGTTGGTTCAATGATTAATAGATTTCACTACACTTGCATTTTGGCTATGACTTATTTTGCAGATAAATTATACATACTTAATTAGTTCATAGGCTAAATATCTCGATTTTTTTGGTTTTGTGGGTTGGTTCCTTTCTGCAGAAAGGCGTCCAATTGTATAAATAAACAATTAAAATAAATATTAAAGTATACACTATACACTAAACTTGAAAAGTTAATAATTAAAATTTTAGTACCAAATAAAAAAACTATTAAAAACGCCAATTTCTTTCTAATTATAACGTTTAGAGTATTTTTTTGACGTTAAAATTTAATTAATAGCATATTAATTACGCAATTATTTAACAAAGCATCCTGTAAATATATGTATTTGCATTTACATACAAAATTGTTTGGGGTTGAATCCATATTTATTAAACTAAATCATATTAACATTTAATTTCGGTTAATTAGCTAAGTTTCACTAAACTACTTACCAATTAAAGCAGAATGTAGAATGTGGTGTTCTTTCTTTTATTTATATAATTACGTATGCTATTTTAATTCATTAATTTAAAAAAAGAGGGAATGTATTTGCAATTTTCTCCCACTATAACAAAAAGCGAAATTCGTTTAGTTAACAACCAGACTTTATCGTTTCAGCTTCCAAAAGGTTGAACTCTTCGTGCTCAGATCTGACCATAATCAGCATCGACAGTAATAGTGTGGATGAAAGTGACAAACATTCCCCCAATTTGGTGAACAAACAACGCGTTCTACCCTTCATACCTCCAAACTTCAAGGGGAACACAAACTCGGTTAACTTGATCAAACCATCGGAGTACCTTAAAAGCATTAGTGTAGCGGATAGATCGTCGACGAGAAGAAATTCGGAAAGCGAAGCTAGCAGCATGGTGTGCAACAGCACGGAAATTAAAGTATTCTGCCCACCGCCGCCTCCGCTACCTGTTAACCTGAACAACACCGATGACGACAACAACAACAATGAACAACAAAAGCCGTCAGAAGCATCCCCAACCACCAAAAAGCAACTACAACCGCTGTCTTCTATAAGCATCCAAGACCTGAACTCAGTCCAACTGAGAAAGACCAGCGGCGAAAAACTCTTGACCAAAACTCTTTCAGCCCCCACGAGGTCGATGAGTCTGCAATGTCTGCAAACAGCAATGGAACCCTTTATAGCACAAAAAACGGATTTAATAGCTGAACTGAAACTCTCCAAAGACATAACCGGAATCAAAAAAATGAAAATTGAAAGAGCAAAATCGGAAATCAGCAAGGAAAAAGAAATATATACGGAAATTAGCAGGCAATTCACCACAACAAAGTTCGTGGAAAAGGTAAGGTTTTTTTTACTTTAAACCAATTAATTACTAAAAACGATTATAGTAAAATTCGTTAGTCTAAAAATTATTTGGACCATTTATGAATGTGGTCAAGTACTGGAACGAGCATATTTAAACGTTTATTTCGAAGTCGTACAAACACATGTTTATTAAATATGTAACGAATGCCATGGTCTATATTTTTCGTTGCTTCCAATTAATTTTTTAGAAACAATTTTTAGTTAGGCTTTGATACTTTCAAATAAGATATATACGGTGCCGCCAGAATGGCAACAATTTTAATAAATTTTAGCTATCTGGAGATGCCTTGAAGGCCTTTAGATTTGTGATATTTTGGGTTGGTAAATACACATTTTACTTAAATGCTTAGTAGTAGTAGTCAAAAACTACTTGTCAGAAAACAATTTTGTAATTTTTTGTATGTTAAGGTGAGATTTAGTTTTTAAGGCCGCCAATGAGGGTATCCCAAAATTAGCGCTTGAATTATAAAGGTAAATCCCCACTAAAATTTCATAGCAAATTTTCCTTTACCATTTCTTCAAATTCGCAGAATTGCAGAAGGTTTTTAATGTTTAAAGCCACCAATGTTAACGCAGTTTTTTGCTCAGACGAACAACACGCACCAAACTTGTTTTGGTTTACTTTTTTACAATTATAGAATATCAGCGTCTTTTATAAACAGCCTATACAGCAAAAACACTTCGCTCTTATTCTGCCTTGCTTAATGAAAACGCCGTAACCAACAATTTTGCGATTTTTGTTTTACGGCATTTTCTACTAGAACAATTCATCCTGCGTCTATCCCCGGTACTCAAAAAACCGTATCTATATATATACGGTTTTTTGAGTACCGGGGATAGACACAGGATGAATTGTTCTAGTAGAAAATGGCGTAAAACAAAAATCGCAAAATTGTTGGTTACGGCGTTTTCATTAAGCACGGCAGTATTGCTCCTGCTAAAATAGCAAAATTTTTCTTTATCCTTTGGACCTCCAATTTTGAGATCACCATGTATATATAACCTACAGGATGAAAAAAAAGAATGCATGCTTTCTTCTCTCTAAAAATTAATTAGTCAAAAATGACTAATTACTACAGTTATTAGTGGCTGCTTTTTCACTTGTACCATGGTTAACCATGGGATACAATGGTATCCCAAAATTTAACAGTCAATTCTTATTTAAAATTGTCCCCTGAATCCGAAAATACCATCAAAAATTATTAAATTATTATTATATAGTCAATTCTATATTTAATGGAAAATTTATCTCAAAAACTGTTCTACTTTTTTTTTAACTTTTGACGACATTTTCGGATTCAGGGGACAATTTTACATGGAAATTGACTGCTTAATATTCGGGATACAAATTGCCATTGACGAGAATTATTAGTGGCTGCTTTTTCACTATAACAATTAGTCATTTTTGACCAATGCATTTGTCATTTGGTCATTTGTGTCGCGTTCTTTCAAACACATGTTGCATGACTTTTTGGAAGATTTATGGGTTGGATTTTATGTTTATCAGTTCAACAATTTTTGAGTCGGTTTGTGGTAAACCATGTGGTTTAGACAACCGCTTCCGAGTTTTTTCTTTGGGGCTATTTAAAAATAAATACTCTTAATATAATAGCTACCATCTCCCAACTAAAACACGACGTTTGCAATATGATTTATGTGTATTCCGGTGTAAAAGCAAATTTTTTTGTAGATTCCTGACAAAGATAACACGGGAAACATAATTCCGGCTTGGAAACGTCAAATGTTGGCCAAAAAAGCAGCTGAAAAAGCTAGAAAAGAATTGGAAGAACAGCTCCAGAGGGAAGCTGAAGAAAAAAGGTTACAGGCTATACCTCAATGGAAAAGGCAATTGATAGCCAAGAAGGAGGAAACAGAACAAAAAATCAGGTAAGTAAGAGCATTAATAAGTGAATTTAAAGGTTGTAATTGTGTAGGTCTTCAAATTTTTTTTTTGATGCTCTGAATTTAAATTCAACTTAAAATATCTCCATCATGTATTTAGAAATTATAACCCAAAAGTATAACGCATTTTGTTACAAGAAATATTTCTGTCAAACAAAATCTAAAATCTAAAGGTGCTACTCTTCCTGTTTAAAACTTTTTAGAAAATCGTTCGTGTGTATGAGTATACATTAAAGGAAATTTTTGAACAAAACGTTTGATTTTAGATCAACAATATACACCCCAAAACTAATTGATGACCCAAAGTTGACCAAGGTGATGGATAGCAGCAAAATTATTGATAATATGGACGATAACAATAACAATTCATACATGGAAAATAACAACCATAATAACACAATGGAAGATGATTTAGGAGATAATGATTATTCTTCATCATCAGAAGAAGAAGAGGAGGAAGAAAAATCCAATATTATCCCCTGGAGAGCACAATTAAGAAAAACTGATAGCAAACTAAACCTGCTAGAGTAATATGAATAGATAATACAGGGTGTTTTATAAAAACATCTGTAATACATTTCAGGAGTAGAAATTTAATAGTAACAACCTGTATCACCCTGTATAATATCGAAAGTGGATAACATAATTATGTAAAAATGTATATTGTTCCATGTTATTTATTTACAGTATGTATGAAGCGTGTTAGGTTATTTTTATTTAGAAAGTTAGCTTTAAAAAAATGTACACCTTTGTCAAATTCGTGTCAATTAAAGTAAACTAATTGCATCTTATAAATATTCAAGATAACAATATGAAAATTGACGCAGTAAATATGGGTGTTAAATTTAAAAATTATTAAGTCATTTATTGTGATTATTATACTTATAAATATAATTTTACTATATTGCTTTAACCTTAAATAGATAATTATTGTTAGTAAACTTATAGCCTTATCTACTTATTGTGTAATTTTGTTATCAGTTATATAAAAATGAAAACATTGCATACTCACCTATTTAAAAATCGATAAATTTATGTGGTAACGATATTTTTTGAGAAAAAGTATTTGTTGCTTTATTATTTTTATTATTACATAATAAAATTTGTATAAGTGTATTTTTCGGGTATGTTGCAATTCTATTGTATTATTCTACCAAGCTTTTTTTAAATAAATACTGTTTAGTTTTTAATTAAATAAATTTTGAAATATAATTTTATTTATTTATTGATCCAATTTAATCGATTTGCAACAGAAAAACAGGAAGTTTGATTACGCAAAAACTCCATTAAAGGTCCATTTTGATTAACATCGAAACTGAAAGAACTGAACACAAAACAACTATATCTCTTGGAACCCTTTAAATATTGTTTTACCGTGGTATGAGTCATCGTTAAAGGCCCTATGTTCTTATGAACGTCTTTTAATTTAGCAGCCAAAATCCCACTAACAAAAACATCATCAATCCAAAAAAAAATCACAGCTGTATTCTGCGATTGTCTATAGAGGTACTGCACAATATCCATGGAGTAAATTATCCGCCATCCGGGGCAGTATGTAGGATACACGTTTGATAAAAATTCTTCTGATGATACTCTCCATTTTGACTTTTTTCTTAAAACAGGTGAATCTTTTAAAACATCTCCCATTTGGTGGGTGTGATTCGGACTTAGATCATTGTGGATGAAGTTTGTTAACTGTGGCATATTCACAAAAACATCATCATCAATTTTTACTAAATATATCGCATTTGAACAATAGTCATTTACGTACTTTAGCATCATAACGTGTTTGTAGGTTAGATTTCTGTAGGTGTCCAAGAAACTTCCTTGAATTATGTCAGAATATTTTTCATTTTCAGCGTTAATTTTACTTTGTATTTCTTCGTTTTGTACACTTCCTAGTGCAAATAATATGGGTGAAGACTGATTTTTACCCCATGTGCTTCTGATTGCTGCTCTGTTCTTAAAATTCACTGTAGAACTCGATATAAAAATCAAAAACTCTGGATGCTGATCCTCGCACGCTATATTTAAAATGTTGTAATAAAAATCAATTTTTATTAATTTGCTGCGTATATTCTTTAAAGATTGTTCACGCAAAAACGTTAAATTAGTATAGTCAAAAACATTATAACATGATTGAATTAATAAAGGTGGTGATCGTAATAAACATTAAATACCCGCTAAAGATATAAAATAAAACAAACGTTTTAGTTCTTATCATGGTTTATTTACTAAAAGCTAGAAATTTAAGGTTTAAACATTTAATTATTGTTATCATTTTGCATACCAAAGTTTTATAATATGTAAAATGCAAATTTTTGACAAAAGAAGGACTAAATATTTGTAACTTAAAAACAAGAAGTTTGATTAGGCAAAAGCTTCATCAAATGTCCATTTATATCGTACTGAAGTACTTAACACAGAACAACTATACGAGGTGTGATCAGAAAACAACGGGACTTGTCTGTGGCAGCCGCTAAGGCTAGACGTGTTTTATGAGCCCGGCGATTTTCGTTCGCTAATGGATCAAAGAGAATTTGTATCCAATTTTGCTTAAAAAATGAAAAAATGAAATATTAACAAAGGCCTATTATAGTGAGTCTGCTATAAGAAAAACAAGAGTTTACAAGTGGTATAAGAGTTTTCAAGATGGTCGTGAAGACGTTGAAGATGACGAACGCCCCAAACGCACAAGCTCATTAACAACCGATAAAAACATGGAAAAAGTGGAAGAAATGGTTATAAACCATCAGATAAGTCGCTGATGATGTTGGTATATCGATTGGCTCATCCCATGAAATTTTTTCAAATGTTTTGGGTATGAAACGCGTGGCAGCAAAATTTGTTCCAAAATTGTTAAATTTTGAACAAAATTTTTGGCCAAAAACAATGTAATGATGCCCCAGCCTACATATTCGCCAGACATGCCTTTGTCTGACTTTTTCCTATTTCCAAAAATAAAGAGAACCTTAAAGGGCCGTCGTTTTGCAAGCAAAGATGACATTAAAAGCGCAACGCTGAAAGAACTAAAGGCTATCTCAAAGATCGAGTTTTAGAAGTGTTTCGAGTATTGAAAGAAGAGCTGGCACATGTGCATAATATCCAATGGGGACTATTTTAAAGGCGAAAACATTCATGTAGACGAATAAATAAATATTTGTTTCAAAAAACGAAAATTTCCGATATTTTCTGAACACACCTCGTATTTCCGAAAACCTTTTAAATAATGCTTAACCATCTTATTAGTCACTTTTTAATCCCCTTATGAATGTCTTTCAATTTAGCTGCCTAACAAAAACATCATCAATCCTAAAATATTTAACAGCAGTATTATGCGATTGTGTATAGTTATGGAATACATTATCAATTATCCGTAACAGTTGGTCAGATACGCATTTGGTAAAAATTCTTCTGGTGTCACTTTCCATTTTAATGGTTCTCTAAGAACAGGTGCATCTATATAAATCCTCCAATGATTAAATTGTAGAAGTAATCTTAATTATTGTGGTTATTATAATTTAAAATATAATTTTTCTATATTGCCTTAATCCTTAAATAGATAATGGTACAAATAACACTTATTATTAGTAAATTGTGAAATTTTTTTATCAGTTATATTTAAATAAATAAATTTGCATACTTACCTATCTAAAAACCGATAAATGTTTGTGATAACGTTATTTATTAATGAAAAGTATATGTTGCTTAATTATATTTTAAATCACAAAATAAAAAAATTAGTGTATTTTTCGGGTTATGTTGCAATTTTATTTTATTATTATACCAAACTGTTTTAGTAAATACTGTTTAATAATTTCTCTAAAAGTTTTTAAGAAAAAAGTATATAATTTAGAATATTTGATGGTTCTCTAAGAAATCTTTTAAATCATCTGTTATTATTAAATTGTGTTATTCGGACATTATGGATGAAACCTAGGAAACTTTGTTGAATTATGTAAGAACATTTTTATTTTCAGCGATAATTTGTATTGTCTCATTTTGTACACTTCCCAGAGCAAATAATATGGGTGAAGACTGATTACCAATTTATTTACTTGCATGTAAATGTTACTGCAATAAAGTCATATTATTATTATTATTAATTTCCTTCTTATATTCTTTAAAGAACCTGCACCAAAATACCTTAAATTGATATAGTCAGAAGCATTATTTTATTTTTATTAGTAACATTAAATAAAGGTGGTAATCTCTATAATTTAGACAACATTAAACACCCGCTAAAGATGTAAAAAAAATTTAGTTTTTATCATGGTTTATTTATTGAAAGCTAGCAATGTTACATCCATCTTAACAGATTTGCGACAGAAAAACAAGGAGTTTGATTACGCAGAAACTCCATCATATGTCCATTTTGATTTATATCGAAACTGAAAGAACTGAACACAAAACAATTATATTCCGGAGAACCTTTTAAATATTCCTTAACCATTTTATCAGTCGCTGTTAAAGGCCCTATGTCCTTATGAACGTCTTTTAATTTTGTAGCTAAAATCCCGCTAACATAAACATCATCAATCCAAAAATATTTAACAGCTGTATTATGCGATTGTCTATAGAGATAATGAACAATATCCATAGAATATATTATTCGATATCCAGGACAGTAAGTGGGATACACGTTTGGTAAAAATTCTTCTGGTGTTACTCTCCATTTTGATGGTTCTCTAAGAACAGGTGCATTTATGTAAACATCTCCCAAGATTAAATTGTGGGTGTAATTTGGACTTAGATCGTTGTGAATGAAGTTTGTTAACTGTGGCATATTCACAAACACATCATCGTCCATTTTAACTAAATACATTGAATTTGAACAGTAGTCATTTACGTACTTTAGCATCATAACTTGTTTGTAGCTTAGATTTTTGTAGGTGTCCACGAAGTTTCCCTGAATTATGTCAGAGTACTTTTTATTTTCATCGTTAATTTTACTTTGTATTGTCTGGTTTTCAACACTTCCCAGTGCAAATAATATGGGCGAAGACTTATTTTTACCCCATGTGGTCCTAATAGCTTCTCTCTTCTTAAAATTCACTGTGGAACTCGACACAAAAATCACAAACTTTGGATGGTTTTCACACGCAAAATTTAGTATTTTGTAATGAAAATCAATGTCTATCAGTTTACTGCTAACATTTTTTAAATGTGGTAAACGATCCGGTAGAAGAGATGAATGATCACAAATATTATTACCCTTAGAGTAAACAAAATCAAAAGGTGGCGGTGTTCTTAAGAAAATAAACATCAAAATACACCCAGTAAAAATGTAGAATGCAATGCAGAGTTTAGTCTTCATGATTTGTTTCACGAAAACACATTTATAAAGTTAATTTATGAGTTAAACAGTATAAACACATTTATCTGCACATTTTTTCACACAAGCGCACATGTTTAAAAAGAATTATTTTTTTGGCTTGTCAGTAAAAATAAAACAATAAACAATAAAATTGTTTAATTACAGAAAACTAAATAAATTTGAAAAAACTAGTTACATATTATGAATATTATTTTAGGTGGTAAGTGATAAGTTGACACAACCTATTATTTTAATTAATGTTAATGCTTTTCAAATACGAGGGTGAGTCAAGTAAAGTCAAGTCCTTACAAACTCAAAGAGATGGTGACAGTGGTAGGAAAACAAGTTTGTACGATCCATTTGAACTTTGATGTTTTTGCTAAAATAAATCAAATTGAAGTTAGATTGAGTTTATGAACATCGTTCTAAACGTTCATTTGAGGTGACCACGTCAAACATCGTCGATGTGGTCTAAAGTGATCAAAAAATCAAAAATCATATGGGTGAATCTCACGAAATGTGGTGTGGTGTTACCCCGTGATATTTAATAAAACCAAATGAGTTTGACCTACACTTTTATTGTGTTTTGATCTTTCATAATTAAGTAGATATTACAGCCCAGGTTCCAGATTTTTAACCGCAATTAATTATTTTTTACAATGTTTTAAAAGTCTAAACCTATCCTCCGTGACTGTTACCCTTTCTAGGTTAACCTATATGTTTTCAAGGTAGTAAAAGCATACTAAAAATATCAGTTCACTAAGTAAATTAAACACATTCAAAGCAATCGAATCAAATATAAAATATTATTAAAAATTATAAAAAATAATTTTTATAACCATTTATGTAGGTGTTACAAAAATTGATTATATCCTTCGTGAATCTGTTTTTGCTTTAAATTTTATGCAACGGATGGCGCTTTAATCATTTTAAATAAGCAAAAACCTCTCTTTACGACATTATAGATGCATGTGATTCCTGAAGGTCAGTTAGAATTTATATGCAGATAAGAGTGTTGCTTTTTTATAATTCAAAAGCTTAAGTTCATTAATTTGCCATTTAAAAACCTATCCACCGTGAAGTGTAATATCTCAGTAAGTAGATATTTTTATAAATATGTTATGTATGTACAATTAAAAAATATTAAGGTGTCAAAAGATACAATAACTTGTTTCAAATATACAAAGGGGTGTTTAAAAAAACATACGAAATCCTAACCTCCGTGAAGCTCTAATATTCAAATGTATGATTTCTTAAAATTCTTGCATTAGTGCAGAACCACTTATGTTATGTTATTACTAGACCTGGTGGCTTCCCAAAAACCCCATTCTAGACTAACAGTGAAACAACCAAAAATAAAAAATAATCATTTTCACTTACACTCACACATAAAACCTTACGAATTACTTTGAAAAACGTGACTTATTTCTCCTTCCGGAATCTTTTGGGATGGCTAAAAAAAAGTTAAGAAGGCTGGGTGTATTGATCTAAAAGGAGGAGACAAATAGTTCAAATTCTCTTTAATTTGTTTATGATACCTACGCCACTGGATAAAATTATTAAAAAACTTAAGCCGACAATTATTTTTACATAAAATCTAAAGTATGTAAAAATATAAAAAATTCATAAAATTACAACAATCGTGCTTAAGTTTTAAAAAATGTACCTAATAGAAAAACAAAATATTTCCTTTTTATAAACAAATAAAATAAACTATTTACTTATCGCTTTATTTGGAACTCCCGAGTTGCATCATAAATATTCTGTTAAATCGGTCGACTGAACTTATAACCTACAACACTCAGTAGACTGTCCTAACCGGTTGCAATTCTCGAAGAAAACAATCCAATCGCCGTATTTCATTGCGGTAGGTTATGAACTGTCTAACGTATAAACATTTAATAGTTAGGATAATAATCGCATAACAAGAGTGCTAAGTAGCAATTTGCGCAGTCTAAAGAAGTTACGCACGACGCGTAGCGACGCCCGTATAAGGGCGAGTGCGTAATTCAAGCTTTTTTTATTTTTTTTTAATTTGAAATTGACAATTTTGACAAATATTTAATTTCGTCACTATCACAATCACAATCCACACAACAAGGTCTGTTCTATCTCGTAAAAATACAAAAAATCACTGCAACACTGCACAGTTTAACGGCGGCCATTTTTGTTGTTTACAATTTTTGTGCTTTGGGTTTGTGCTCTGTTTATACAGTTTAATATTCGTTTTAAACGTTGTGTTTCTAGTAGTAAGCCTTAAAAGAGGCCTTAAAGTGCTAAGAACAACCATTTTACTCCTCTATTGTAAAAAATAAACTTTATTCTATTAGGGCTGTCATAAAACTGTCAAATTTCAATTTTAAGGTTAAATTGTAACCCACAAATTAACCTTCAAATTGTCATTTGACAGCCCTGATAGAATAAGGTATATTTATTATAAAAGAGGAGTAAAATGGTTGTCCTTAGCACTTAAAGGCCTTATTTGAGGCTTACAAGTGCCTCTGTAAGAAACCCAACGTTTAAAACAATTATTAAACAGCACAAACCCAAAGCACAAGAATTGTAAACAACAAAATTGGCCGCCGTTAAACTGTGTGCAGTGTTGCAGTGTTTTTTAGTATTTTTAGCATGAGATAGAACATAACTTGTTGTGTTGCGAAGTCAAAGAAAAGGGTTCCCCAAGAGTTCTTTTTTGAGAAGTCTTGATTAGTTCAATAGGTGGCGCATTCGAAGTCTTAAGAACTTCTTAAAAACTTCTTTCTGATGTTGTATTTGGCGTCCAAATTATAAAATAGAGCTTATGCAGACTTAATTAAAGAATAAAAGAACTGATCTTTATAAAAGAAAAAGTTCCAACCTGACAAAACCACCTAAGTTCCATCTACAACCTAAACAAGATTTGAACCGACGAAAACAATCTAAAAAAAATAGAAAAGAGTGAGGGCCCTCCTCCTTTATCCGGGCTTGGGACCGGCAGGTTAAAAATACCTGGCGGAGTTACCCTCCACCCTCCTTATCATATTATATACCTAAAATTTCCTAAAACAGATAAAGTATTTAAATAAACAAAAAAACGCAAAAAACAAATTTACTGGTTGTATACATACTCCCATATAAGATTCACTCGCACCCTGAAGTTCCAAGAAGTCCAAGATGTCCATGTCAGGTCCAAATGAAGGAATTAGGGTAATAGGAAGGGTAGAAAAGGAAAACGACAGATAATAAAGTTACAAATAGATTAGCGCCGGTGCGCAACAACATGCTCCACGTTAAAAACGGGTTGGCACGGATTACCGATGTTCCGAGACAAAATCCAAAAAGTATTTTCAAGATCCATCTACCATTTTAATTTAATTCAACAATCTGAAGACTGTGAAATTGAACTAAAATGGGTCTAAATGGAAGGAATAAAAAGGAGGGTTTTATAGGAAACTCCTGGGCGCCTGGTTCCATAGGATAATCACTATCTAAAACAGACTTTAACCACAAAAATAATTTAAAAAATATGTTCACCTACCCAAAAGCGAACTATTTCATCTCCAACTTGAAATTTGACCTGACGAAAAGAATTTAAACAAAATTTTTACCTATGATCCCTTCAAAAACGAAGTAAAAGAACTGATCTTTAAAAAAAGAATAAGTTCCATATCCAACTTAAAGAATCTAATAATAATATTACTTACGACCCCTAACAAAAACGAACTAAAGAATTAGTTCCATATTTGCTCTAACAAAAAGAATCTAAACAAAATTTTGATCTACAATCCCTACAAAAACAAAGTTTAATAACTAATCTTAAAAAAAGTAAGTTTCATATCCAACTTAAAAAAAACTAATGACAAATTTGACTTACGACCCCTAACAAAAACGACCCCTAACTAAAAGAACTTAACTTTAAATAAAGAATTAGTTCCATATCCAACTTAAACAAGATTTGCCCTAACAAAAAGAATCTAAAAAAGTTTTGATTTACGACCCCTAAAAAAAACTGATCTTTAAAAAAGAAAAAGTTCCATATCCAACTTAAAAAAACTAATGACAATTTGACTTACCACCCCTAACAAAAACAAACTAAAAGAACTTATTTTTAAGTAAAGAATTAGTTCCATCTCTAACTTAAACAAGATTTGCCCTAACAAAAAGAATCTAAAAAAGTTTTGACTTACGACCCCTAACAAAAAAAGAACTGATCTTTAAAAAAGAATACGTTCCATATCCAACTTAAAAAAACTAATGACAATTTGACTTATGACCCCTAACAAAAACGAACTAAAAAAACTTATCTTTAAATAAAGAATTAGTTCCATCTCCAACTTAAAAAAGATTTGCCCTAACAAAAAAAGAACTGATCTTTAAAAAAGAATAAGTGCCATATCCAACTTAAAAAAACTAATGACAATTTGACTTACGACCCCTAACAAAAACAAACTAAAAGAACTTATCTTTAAATAAAGAATTAGTTCCATCTCCAACTTAAACAAGATTTGCCCCAACAAAAAAAGAACTGATCTTTAAAAAAGAATAAGTGCCATATCCAACTTAAAAAAACTAATGACAATTTGACTTACGACCCCTAACAAAAACAAACTAAAAGAACTTATCTTTAAATAAAGAATTAGTTTAATCTCCAACTGAAACAAGATTTACCCTAACAAAAAGAATCTAAAAAAGTTTTGATTTACGACTCCTCACAAAAAAAAATAACTGATCTTTAAAAAAGAATAAGTTCCATATCCAACTTAAAAAAAACTAATGACAAGTTGACTTACGACCCCTAACAAAAACAAACTGAAAGAACTTATCTTTAAATAAAGAATTAGTTCCATCTCCAACTTAAACAAGATTTGCCCTAATAAAAAGAATTTAAAAAAGTTTTGATTTACGACCCTTAACAAAAAAGAACTGATCTTTAAAAAAGAATAAGTTCCATATCCAACTTAAAAAAACTA